ATAATAATAGTAATAACAATAATGATAATAATAAAATGTACAAGATGCCTGAGGCGCAGTCGTGGCTATCGCCTTTTAAACACAGCTGGCGGTTGGGGAACATTGCCGGAGGCCCGGTGCTGTGTGCTGCTGGTTGAAACTAAGCCCTTGACCGGCTAGATATTCAAAAGGGACCCCGCTGCAGAACAAGAGTAACCTACTCTCAGACAGCTCTGCTTTAAAACTTCACTCCTCCCTTGCGCAGAGCCCCAAACAATATTTCTGATTCCCCCTCCCCACCTTCCTCTCCTTTGTCCAGGCCTGGTAAGGTCTATATAGCTGCAGGTATTGTGTGTGCAGTTAAAATGTGTTCGCCTTTGAAGTCAAACATGAAGGCTCGTTTAAAATATTAACGCCACAAAAATCTATAGTCTCCGTGTGGAATTTTGCAATTTAGAAAAATACAAAAAACAAAAAACAAAAATGGGGTTAAAGCAAAATTAATTGTATTTTTTCTTCCCCCGTTAAAAGTTTGTCCACCAGCACCAGTGTTACACTTAACACTTATAACACGCTGTCCTTATGTGTGTGACATGATATAGTGAAAGGTAGATCAATGACGCTATCTGCCAGCGAAGTGCCCCCGCGACTACGTCCATAGCAGCCAGTTTGCCTACGTGTGTGTGTGTGATGCGTATTACTTCAAAGAGGAGAAAGGGGTTTTGGACAAAAGATTTGGCCATTGTCACCCACGTCAGCGCACGTGTTGCTCTGCTTTCTGTGTTGCGTGTGTGCGCGTTTCTCATGTGTGCGTCTGTACCACGGGGAGGGGGAGGGGGGGGGGGGGGTTGCTCATTCGCTCTTGGCCCGAGGGGTCTACATAAGTATGTATTAGAAATAAACAGTGGATAAATAAATAATGACTCTCACAATAGTATGGTAGCTTTCTGTGTAATGATGTTGGCAGTTAACCTTCAAGTTTTTTAACTTGACACAGTTTCATTTGCACTGACAATTCATGTTTTCTACCAAGCAAGACAAATCAGAGAAGAAAAGGAACGGAAAGGTTAACAGATATGTCCTTTTTAGTTTTATGCCAGGTGAAGACAAATATAACCTTTATAATTATATATATATTTACATTCGCTTTGTCCCAAGCAGTTTCCCATATTTTCTCATATGGAACCTTTATTACTATTATTATTTTAAAAAGCACATCTTAGTTAATCACACTGTTTGCACGCACAATAAACCAAATTATTATTTGATGAAAAATCATATAAAATCCTCTTTTTGTTGTCAAAACATGAAATGGTCTTGATCTTTAAAAATATACTATTACAGATGTATGTATTTGTTGGGGTGTGTTGTGTCTGCATCAATCACGTTAAATAGCCTAAATAATATCCATACTTTCAGCTCGTCACTTGTGAACGCTGTTGTTTTAAAAACTAATTAACTGTGACAGCTCAGACCTATTCGACACACAGACACAGACAAGCTGTTTCTTTTTTCTTCCCAGGTGCTCGCCACTCTCCGGTCCACACCCGGAGCAGTGCGCATGCGTCGCCAGGTGGCTCCACATATGGCCAGGTGAAGCGATTCCGGCCCAGGTAAAGGTTTACTTTTGCGAACGAAGGCTTAATGAAATAGACGCGCCGTCGGATCGGACCAAAACAAACCGCCAAAGGAAGCAGAGGATAAAGAATGTCAATTATGGGCAAAATGATGGAATGGCAGGTATGTATTGTTTACCTTAAGAAAAAGAAAACGGCTGCAAAAAGGGTGGGAAAAATACATAAAAACAGTCAAAGTATCGACTTGTTGGATGAGGCTGCACGGACGCTATGAAATCCTGTAGTAAAGAGAGGCAGCACAGTTCTGTAGAGGCTCCTGGATTTGATCACACTGGAGATATTTTGGAGTCTTTTGCGGGGAGCTATAGCCTGAAATATGGAATTAACCATATTTTTGTTGTTGTTGTTGTTTTTATTCTGAATGTCTGAAGGTATGGATCGTTTGTTGCAAGGACATCGTGCGCGTTTCAGACACACTGTGAAATCCACATTTGTTTCATCATAAGTTAGACATGTATGGAAACAGACTTGAGGTGCTTTGTTAGAGGTGGAGCGATTAGAAAACACAGCCCGTGCTCGAACCACGTAGTTAGGCTTTCAAGTAGAAAAAACAAAAACAAAGAATAACAATGATATACTTTTCATGTGCTTTGCAGCTGTTCCAATTTTGCATGGCGTGAGCATGTCACAGTGGACTTTCTGTACAGTCTCATTTTAAAAAAACGATCTGGGCTTGACTCAAAAGTATGGCCTCGACTTGTGGATGCGTTGGGGATTTAAGAGAAGACCTGAGATGTTTGATGGAAGAGAAACACTCCAGTTTCAGGCGAGCAGGCCAGGTCTCTTTTACACGGATTGCTGTCGTTGACAGCCGCTCCACGTTCATTAATAACAACTGTTTGTTACAAAAAAAAGAAAAAGAAAAAAAAAGTGGGGGGTGGAGGGGTCTCCGTCCCACCAAAAATACCAAACAGGCTTTTAAAAGGGGGACAACGCCTTAAAGCGCCGTGGACATGTCTGCTGACCCACGACCTGGTGAGGTGAAGGCTCAACCGGCGACAGGACAGAGCCAGGCTCCCCCAGCCGCTCATTCAAATGAAACAAGGCCACGTTGTTGTGTTAATTATTGACACCAGCCCCACCTCCCTCCCCCTTCCTCAACTCCCTCACAAGCCCTGCCAACCTTACAGGTAGCCAGTGGACCTGTAGAGCAGCTTTGAATAACTCACCCTTTTTAACATCACACTGAAAGAATGGCCTCTCGAGGTCTCAATAGGATTAAAATAACACTTTGGGAGGTTTTTTTTTTGGTTTGGTTTTTTTTGCAGACAAAAAAAAATCAGGGTTGGCCCCACGGTGTGTGTGATGGGCTGTTTTTACATCAAATTTAAAGTTATCAAGAGGTGGATAGAAGGGAGTTCAGTTTAGACAAAAAAAGTCACAGAAAAATATATTTGACAATTTGTTAAAAATACACAATTTTTGAAGGATTCTTTAGGATGTGCACTTTTCCATCCTCCCAAATATGAAATCAAAATGATTGTAGAAAGTGTCCCAGGTGCAAGCAGGTCCCCATGCATGACCGTACCCTCCCTTCCTCTCAATAAAAAAAACACACACACACACACACATACCTCATTGAACAGTAGAAATAATAACCGTGTGTAGCATCTTGTTGCTTTTTTAGTCTTCACCTGTAATGCTGTCCATTGGTGTTGTGTGAGCAGATGGGGGGAATCAAACGGCTGTTGATATGCTAATGAGGCCCGGTGCCAGTGTTATTACAGAGCTGATCCAGCCCTTCACTTCCACCATTAGAGGGAGACCTCAGAGCGCAAGACAGACAACCAACCCACAGCTTCAATAAAAGTAGTTTTTCTGAGCGGGGAGCACAATTCACTGAGTGAAAACAAGGCTAAGGCGATACCTATACTCAATATCCACCTCAACAACCCATGAAAATGCTCTGGAAATTAACTGATAACATTAAATATGAAGACTGCGAGGTAAGAGGCTCGTTTTTAATTTACTAAATTTGTTGTTGTTAAATTATTATTATTTTTAAACATTCAGTAATTATTTTATGGCTGCTTTTTAAAATTGTTTTGATCCAGCTGTGAGATTCTTTTGACAGCTGTTAGAGAACATATTTAACTGCAAGATGAATAGACTGCATCTTATGGCTTTTGTTAAGTAATGTAATAATAATAATAATAATAATAATAATAATAATAATAATAATAATAGAAAGCTGCTTTTAATATCGTCTGGCTGCATAAAAATCACAGCATTTTCCAATTTAAAACTTACATTAAAAATAAAATAAATATGACAAAAAAATTATATTGCACGTGAAAACATTAAAGCATTAATATACACTTACCATGCATTAAATTAAAAAAAAAATAGTATTTTAAAGCAGTGTGAGTGCTGGCACTGCCTGGTTCATTTTGCGCTTCAGTTACAAGCTCTTGGACTCTTCAGGTTTTTCTATCACTGCAGAAGCCGTTAAATTCTGCGTGTGCGTGTATGTGTGAAGTGCATACACTGAGTGATTGTTGTTGTTGTGGACACAGACGAAGTTTGGCAGTAATACCGGTGGCTTGTTTAAGGAGTGGAGAAGCCAGTCGGACGTGTTTTCGCCCGCGTCCTGTGAGGATAGAGAAGGACGGGAGCAAGAAAGCAAAAAAGCAGAAAGAAAGAAAGTGGCACCTCCGCGGTCGTGTTAAATGGATTCTTTTAATTTACAGACAAACGGTTCGTTTCCTCCGCTGGTATCGAGGCAAAAACAAGAAATACATAAACAGATAAATAACATTTGCAGTCGCGGTCCAGCCGAGGCCCCAGTAAGTGCTGTTTCGTAATTTTAAAGTGCATGATTAGGCAGGAAGGGGAGTGGAGCTATTTCAAGCCGCGCGCAAAAGTTACAGAGCGCAGGATCCAGCGGCCCTGTCTCACACTGTGGGAATTTTATTTTGCTCCATCTTTCCGGGTCAACGTTAAAGTTAAAGTCGGCGTGACTCTGGGTTTTTTGGAGTCGAGGACGGATCGGTGGATTAATTCGACGGAGACGGGAGAGGCAGAGAGAGAGAGAGAGAGAGAGAGAGAACCATGGAGGACAGCTCGCTGTCGGAGTCTGAGGTGGAAAACAAAGGGACAAGCGGTAGAAATGAGCCGGCTGGAATGCCCATAGCGTCGTCTGCTGGATTTTCACCCAGTTCAGAGGTGCACATTGTTTCCTTCCCTGGCTTCTTCATTCCTGTCTGTGGTCCACCTCCCTTCCCATTCCTGTCTTTCTTTCACTTTTGCGCTTTGGCCTGGGACTCTTTTAAAATGCCCCCCTCCTCCTCCTCCCTCTCTCTCTGATTCGTCAGACGAGGTGAATGTCCCTCTTTTTGTGTGTGCCTCTCTCCGCACACTCTCTCACTCCCTCTTTCTCTCTCACTCCCCCTCTCTCTCTCCCCATCTCTTATTAGATATACTGATTCCTCCTTTCAATGGACGTCATTTAAGCGCAGACTCCTGCCTTGAGTTGCGTCCTCCGCTTCACGCCAGATTTCCGTCTATTCTTTCCTTGTTATTAAGTATTCCTGTGGTATTAATTGTAATGAATGCGTTCTGGTAGGAGTCCGAGAGGGAGACGAAGAAGCGGCTCTTTTTTGGGGCTAATATGAGCTCGAGCGAAGGGACGGTAGCACTGTGATAGAAGCCCGGAGAACAGGGGGGAAAAGAGGGTTTACCAAGAGAAACTTTTCAACCTCGATCGGCCAGCACCGCCGAATATCTGCATTGTTAGAAGCAAATGAAGGGCAGCTGGGATCTAACCGTTTATTTCTGATGGATTATCGTCCTGCTACCGAGGCACATATCTGATCGCCGGGGCCATCGTGATCTTTGCAGGAGAGAAGAGTTTTTTCGGGGGCCTTGTTCTTTTTTTTTCTTTTTTCTTTTTTGGGTTTTGCTGGTTAATTCCTTTTGCTCTTCCCCCCGCCCCTCAAAGACTCCGTGTTTTTGTGAACTGATTACTATAATAATCATTTTTTATTATTATTGAGTCGCACCATAAATCCTTACAGATGTTAGTGCACAGTTTTTCCCCGATGGTAAGTTGCTGGAGTCTCCCACTATCAGATACTTTCTTTCTTTGCTTGTTTGCCTACGAGATTTTCTTCTTCTTTTTTTTTTATACTTTAAGTTTTTTTTCCAAAGCGTGCATGCTTGAAAAATCAGCTGAGCGTCCTGCAAATAACAATTTAAAAAAATGTCAGGACTTTCCTATTTAATGCCGTTTCATTTTCTGGATTTTTTAAAAATTATTATTTATTTTGCTCATGTGCTGTCAGGTTATTTTCAATTCCCAAAACTTTGCGGATGTGTTGTGGGTGTTGTTGTTTTTTTGTTGTTTAAAAAATCCCTTTCCCTCAATTAACTGGAATAATTCAACACAGATTCCACACTTGAGCTAATCGTGTCATCCACTCAGGGGCATATTTGATAATGCCCGCAGAGCATTCACGTGTAAAAATATAGACGGACGTTTCGCTAATTTATGACCGCGTCCTTTCTTTTTCTTTTTCTTTTGAACGTATTCAGGCTAAAACGCTCTTTTCCTTCTTTCCTTACCTGCCAGGATCGTCACGACGGCACCAGCAATGGGACAGCCAGGCTACCTCAGCTGGGCAGCGTGGGCCAGAGTCCCTACACGAGCGCCCCTCCGCTCTCCCACACACCGAACTCGGACTTCCAGCCTCCGTACTTTCCCCCACCCTACCAGCCCATCTACCCGCAGTCTCAGGACCCTTACTCGCACGTCAACGACCCATACTCCCTCAACTCCCTGCACGCCCAACCGCAGCCACAGCACCCGGGCTGGCCGGGCCAGAGGCAGGGTCAGGAGAGCGGCCTGCTGCATCAGCACCGCAGCCTGCCCCACCAGTTGTGCCGGGAGTATCGCAGGGAAGTGCTCCTGCCATCCGGCCACGGCATCGATACGGGATTGTCGGACTCTATCCCTATCCATGGAATACACCAATCTTTAGAAGACGTGCAGGTGAGGCAGCGTTTACCTGGCTTTCTCTTTCTGTGGAATTACTCCATTTAAGAAATGAAAATAGAAAGAAAAAAAATGAAAGAAAGAAAAGGAATAATGCTGTCATTAAGAGTTCGAGCACCACGGGTGCCAACCCGCTATTATCTGTAAGAGTGAGGGTGTGTGTGTATTTTTTATTTAAATAAATAATGAAATTTGTTCTGTCACCCCGCCTTTAAGAAATCAGGTACTAGTCATAGCAGTGCTGTGACTGTATCATGTTTATCGTATTAATATTCGCTGATACAAACACGACTGACACGCAGTAAATTAGGTTCGGGGAGCTCATTATAGCTCTTAAAATATACAAAACAAATAAATGCGTGGATTTTTTTTCAGTATCGTCAAGGTGTTTTAAGACAAAGCAGCACTGATTTGCAATTTATTTCTGTCATGAAATATATTTTAAAAACCATTCATAATGCTGCTCGTCGACACATGGCTTTTGTTCGACATCTGAAAGTAAAAAGGCATGAAATACATGAAAATAATAGATATCTCTATTTTCACGATTCATTTTCTTTCGTGTCGTTTGCTTTTTATTTAATTTCTCTGTTTAAAACAAAATAAAAAAAACGAAGCCGACGCTTATTTGAGAACAATGACATGAGAGTGTACTGCATGCACATTAAGGAGAATTTTACTTTGCTGCACGGAGCTCAGACAGACGTTTTACTGAAGGTCTGTGATGGACGAGCTTTTACATTTGTCAATAAACTCCATTTATAATAAGAACATTACACAAAAAAAATCAGAAACAAACACCAATAATTCGCTAATTAGTTCATAGGCCTTTAATAGGCAGCGCCGCCGTAATTACTATCCAATCTAGATTAGAAGTTTCCTTGTGAGTAGAGCCAATCTGAAGGCGAAATTAGGTCAGGATTATGGGGCGACACAGCTTCGTTATTTAAGTCTGCGTTTTTCATCTAATCAGTGTAACCGGTCGAAAACACCATGGACAATAATAACAGGTATGGGGCCTCGGGAGCCTCCATGTTGGGTGATTCTGGCTGCTAATTGTGTCAGGCTTTGTTCCTGCACCGCATCCTGAGGTGCGTTTACGTACGCAGGACCGAGGCTGACATTATTAGGTTTTTCCTTCTCTTTCCTGCCTTTGTGCTTAAACGTATACTTTTTTTTGCATTTGTGTCATAGCCTGTTGAGGATCAAGGAATTCACATCCCCGACCAGACTGTAATTAAAAAAGGTAAGCAATTTCCTCCGAGATACAGTACCATGCATGTTTCTTCAAGCTGCACACCACTAAGCAACACACACACACACACTCGCATACACGCACAAACGCCATTCACTATTCTGCTCGAGAGAGCTCGATGCAATGCGGTAATGCCTGACTGATCCTAATACGCAGTAGCCTATTTTTCATTACATGGTTTCCAAGTGCGTCAAACTGGCTGCACCTTTTTTTTTTCCTCGCTGATGGAATTTACTGTCAGCGTTTCAGCGCAGCGGGGAGATGAGTAGAGCTGGTGGGCTTTGTAGGCCCGCGTGCTATTGATGGTCAAAGATACAGGCCTCATAGACGATCCTGGCACTTCAGGAAGCCAATAGCTGCAATCACGTAGCGTGGTCAAATCTAAAATGGGAGTTGGTACCGCTGGATGGAGCACAGGCCTGCTGTGTGTAGGATGATAGTCTGTCATTCAGTGAGGGGAATCAAAACTAGGCTTGGGAAAAAAATAAAATCACTTGGCTGGATGTTTAATATGGTGAAATGCAATTGTTTAAATATATATTTAGGCTACTTTGGTGAAGGTTGTTGGATTGTGCTGCTGCTGCTTCAGTCCGTCGTGTTTATTTGCTGTTAAAATTCAGTGAATTGTATTACTTGACACAACACGAGGAAGTCCCATTCTTTTCGTGGCCATGTTTAAAAACGTTTTGTCAGGTCAAATTAGAACTCGCTGGATAAGATATGGAGTGATTTTGCTTCCCCATTTCTTCCCTTCCTTTTTTCGTTTTTTACTTCTTTCTTTCTTTCTTTCTTTTTTTAAAATCTTTTTAACCATTCTTTCTTTTTTAGTCTGTCTATCTGCACATCAACATGATAATTGGCTTCTTATATTAGTAATCTCAAGAGTTCGTTTAACTCCTATTGTCTCTATTAGGCTCCCTTGAGCCATTAATGTCACAAGTGATCTATCCAAAGGCGCACAGTCCCCTTTGTCTCCGGTTACTGCACACCAAAACGGTGTAAAGCCCAGCACTGCTGAGCCCCCCCTCCACATACACACACACACCCCTACCCCACTATCCCCCCCACCCAGTGTGAAATCACACACGGGGTACGGTGTTTTGCTGGATACCCAGGATATGTCAAAATAGGTAGACTTTACAGAATCTCTCGGTTGTTATGGTTGCTTTGTGCGGAGATGCTGTGTAGGGCGCACACATCCTTTTATTTCTCATTGTCTGCTGCATAGTTGTCTACATAATGTCATTGAGTGGTGTTTTTTTAAAGTGATAATAATAATAAAAATAATAAAAAAACAAAAGAGCACAGACGAGCGGAAGTATTCTGGCTTTCAGGCAGGTATATTTGAACGGAAATCAGGTCTCATAGTGCTGATTTTACTGATTCTGCAATATATTATTATTATTATTATTATTATTATTATTATTATTATTATTATTATTATTTGCCAGTCTTACCGAACATGTACACATGTTGTGCTAAACTCCAATTCCGGGGCCTAACCTCCACCCCCCTTCTCATTTAGTTAAGGCTCTGCATTGCATGAAATTCACTGAGCACGGTCTCTCTCTCTCTTTCTCTCTCACCCCGCAATCCCTCCCTCCTTCCTTCTCTCCATCCCGCCACCCCCCTCTCTCTCCCTCTCTTCCTCCCTGGCTATAGGTCCAGTGTCTTTATCCAAGAACAACAACGTCTCCGCAATCCCAGTAAATAAGGACGGTCTTTTCGGAGGGGTGGTTAACCCCAACGAGGTGTTCTGCTCAGTTCCGGGTCGCCTGTCCCTTCTCAGCTCCACATCAAAGTACAAGGTCACGGTGGCAGAGGTGCAGAGACGCCTCTCGCCGCCCGAGTGCCTCAACGCCTCTCTGCTGGGCGGGGTGCTGAGGAGGTGAGTTTGACTGGGAGGCTGAAAAAAAAATCTCCTCTCTCTACTCCCTCTTTACCTGTGGGTTTGTGCGCGTGCGTATGAAACTCGCTCTACTCCAATCATTTCTTTCAGCGAGCGTGCATCTCTCCCTTTCGCTCTTGCTTTCCCATTCTCTCTCTCTCTCTCTCTCCTCTGTACCAAGAATAATTAAAATCGACCAACCATGACACCTAGCTCCTGCATTTAAAGCAGGGGGGTCTGTTAAATTCCATATCAACTTCCCAAGCGTACTGGGTATCTCTCTCTCTTTCTCTCTCTCCCAAATTAATGTAGGCCTAGTCTGTTTCAAGCTCCGCTCTATAGGCCCACTGAAGGCATTACACATGAAAACATTGGTCTCCAGTGAACTGTCTACAGAAGTGCTGCAGACACACAGCCAGTAATAGCGCTGCCTATTAAGTAGGACTTTATTTATTCAGTTTGTACAGTATTTGCTGGTAGAAAAAAAGGCGGAGGGGGCTCCTTTAGTATTATTTATTGTTTGTAGCTATCAGATATGTGGAGGAGGGGGAAGTTCACGTCCGACTTTAAATCACAACCACTGTTAAATTAGCCAAAACATATATACAGTCAATCATTAATAGTTATGCATTAATCATTACCTTTATTTATATATATATATTCAAAGAAAATATTCTTGCTCATATATTAGCCTCCCTTATACAAATTCCTCCACATGAGCAACACTACAATGAGTTTTTCTACTTTGTGTTACTGTCACAGGGCCAAGTCTAAGAACGGAGGAAGAAGCTTAAGGGAGAAGCTGGATAAAATCGGTTTGAATCTACCTGCGGGCAGACGCAAGGCAGCCAACGTAACCTTGTTGACGTCACTAGTCGAAGGTAAGTCGGATACCGTAAATTACGTTCCCACTCTTGTTGCTCCCGCGATACCAGGTGCTTGCAAACTAGGTTTTTTCTCTCCTTTCTCTCTTTCTTTCTTTCTTTCTTTCTTTCTCTGTGTTGGAAATCAGCATATGCGCTCATCCGTGTAATGTGGACCGACTTTGCCTCGCAAGTAATAAAGCATGAAGGATGTGTGTGTGTATGTCTGCGAGTGTGTGTGAGAAGAGAAACACACACGCACACACACACACACACACACACACATATATGTATATATAGTGAGAATGGTGCTGGTAATTCTAGTGGTTTTGCAGCGTTGGCCTTCGCTTTCAGGAGCACACTTGCAGGTCCACGGCTGGCCTAGTTTATACACTGGATTAATTTGTGTTGAAGTCCAGTTAATTATTGAGTGCTGCTTGTTTATTGGGCACCGCTGAGCTGTTTCACCTCATGGATGAGAAGTCGATTGATTTATTAACCCTGCATTGTTTCAAACGTTAATATAGTCTGGATATAACAGTACAGAGCTGATTTTTAATGGTGACTTAATTCTTTCGTTAATAGCTTGCCATGCTTTGGCTTTCGGTGGGATTTTTATTGCATGCAAATGGCGTGGCGCTGACCTATTGGGAGCTATATGTTTTGGGCCTATTACAAAATAAATTAGTCAATTATTGTGCGCAGAAAAGATGCCTTTTGCGCGACTGGATAAATCCATTCTGCTAGCAGAGTTGAACCTTATTATTCAGTGCAGTGGTATTTGGTGTGCTGCTGGTTTCCAAAGGTGAAAGCCTGCGCTGCTTCATTGGTCCCCGTTAATCATTATTGCAGAGGAGCACCGAATGCAATATTCATTGTGTTTCGTAGAAATTTGGTGCTGTATTGTAATGAGCCTGGAGAAATGTTTGATTGTGGGTAATAAGAGGGTGGTGGCACGTGGGGGGTTGGGGTGGTGGATGACAGAGAAGGGTGGGGGGGGGACTGAGACAGCCGGTTATTTATTGAAGGGACAGTGGGTTTTCTGTGCTGTCATTGTTTACGATCCGCTCCATTTTATGGAAAATAGCTTACCGGACTTGAGCTTTGATGCTAATTGGCGCATGCGTTCTTCCGGAGCAGAGGCTTATGGGCAGGAAGGCCCGCAGTAAAAACTCAACTGCTTCAGGAAATTAAAACCAAAGACTTGGAAAAAAAATCCACCAACAAGAGAGGCGAGCTTGGGACGGAATTAAAGCAGAAAGTCTCATAAGTGAAGTTTGCAAAGGCAAAGTGAGATTTAGGTGTAGCCTTTTAAAATTGCTGTGATGTGCTGGACTTTCAATAATGCGCAGGCATTGGTAATCAATGACATGGTGTCGAGCATGACGCTCCGTCTATACTTCACCTCCACTTAAAGGTTCTCCTCCATCTCTTAAGTGTTCCCACGGTGTGACGGAAAGACGGGGTGCACTGACTGCTCGCAGGGCCAGCTTCATTATTATTATTATTATTATTATTATTATTATTATGTCGTCATCAGCAGCAGCATCATCACTGACGCTGTTGGGAACGCACAGGTGCCTTAACCCTGCCGTCTGAACGCACAGACTGGACGCTGTGTTCGGGCAGAGAGTGTGAACTTGTCTATGCTTGATGTAACCATGCTTTATGGGCAAACACATTCAACCTCATTTCTTTTCGTTCTCAGGCGAAGCGGTGCATCTTGCCAGGGATTTCGGTTATGTATGCGAGACCGAGTTTCCAGCCAAGGCAGTAGCTGAATATGTAAACCGTCAGCATTCCGACCCAAACGAACAAGTCCAAAGAAAAAACATGCTGTTGGCCACGAAGTAAGTGCTATTATCACATTTCACCATGTCACACCAAATGCATGCCGCTCTGTGCCAGCACAGAATTTGATCAAAGTGCTGCTTTTTTACGCAGTTTTCACAGGCTGAATAATTTATTTTGCATTATTTTATTTTCTATTTTTTAATTAGAGTACGCTACGTCAGACACGTGACCATGATAAAAAATAAAATAAAATAAATAAACAACGCGTTTGCCTCATACATATCGGGCTAGTGTTACCGAGTAACAATTAATTAATAATTAATTAATTAATAAACTTCTCACGCTTCTCACCTGTTTTAATTATAGACTTAATTCACTTCCTTGTTTTCCTTTATTATTATTATTTAAGCAGGTGCCTCTATATGTTATCATAAATTATAATTACAAGGCTTGCTAAATATACCGCTATTCAATATGGGCCTTTCGCCTCATCCACTCGCGCAGCAGCATTTTGTTTACTGTGAGATTTCAGTGACACTGACACATAGCTGGTTTTCATCCAGCACACTGTTGGTGTTTATGCATTAACTAAAACATGGGAAGTCCTTACAGGGCAAAGAAAAGCAGAGGCAGCATTTAATATTGATGATAGGCTGCTATAATCAAACAGCTGTTTGCCATAACTGCTTATTATAAGCTTTTTTTTAAATGTTAATATACAAGTGGCATGATATGGTGTGTGTATCTGTGTAAATCCACCCTTAATGCTGGTGCCCCCCTAAAAGGAATATATGTATTTAATACTTTAATGTCATATATTGCTAAATCGTTGGTTTTAAATGATGAAAATAAAAGGATGAAAGCAGGAATTTCTTTTTTTTCTTCATTTCTTCTTTCTTTGTCTTTCCTGTTTGATAATCAGCGACTAAAGTTCAGAGTTGACGCTGCAAAAAAAGAAAAAAGAAAAAAAGAAGAAGTTCATTATATTAGCAGATCTTTCCTTGTGTAGTTGGCTCGTGGATTATGATTTTTAAAAATGATTATTTATATTTTAAAGTAAAATATTGCAGCTAAGAGATTAACTGTCACCTGTTTGTAGCTCCAGGACATTTTCTTTCCCCAAATGTTATTTTTGGAAACGAAGCGAAGGAAACACGGGCTCACACAACAAATTTTTCCACGCAGATATGAGAATGTGATGAAATAAGTTTCTCTTTTAAGCTCCAGCCGGATACTTTTGACTCGCTTTAAGCAAGTTTAGGATTTACAACCCAGCACTCCCGCGGGGGCATTTCGTTTTGCACTGTGTCCATTTGAATTTAGCCTCTTTTTCTTGTATTATTGAAACATTAAATTTGCATGCAGGGATTTTTTGTCTCGGTCATTAACACCTCCTGTCTCTCTGATTTTAGGCAAGTCTGCAAAGAGTTCACAGACCTGCTGTCCCAGGACCGCTCGCCGTTGGGAAACTCGCGGCCACAGCCCATTCTTGAACCGGGAATTCAAAGCTGTTTGACCCACTTCAGTCTAATTTCGCACGGTTTCGGAACCCCTGCACTGTGCGCGGCCATCACGGCCCTGCAGAACTATTTGACCGAGGCTATCAAAGCCATGGACAAAATGTACCTCAACAACAACCCCAACAGTCACTCAGATAACGGCACTAAAGGCGGAGACAAAGACGAGAAGCACAGAAAGTGATCTTTTTTTTTCTCTCTCTCTCTCTCCATCCCATCTTCACCGAGGGCCAAACCGGCCCCCCCACGCAGGGGCCCTTCTTCTGCACCGACCCCACACCCTTCCGCCCCGGCGCCCCTCTGCCCCCAACCATCCAATATAAATATTATAAATACCTTATAAATATTATTGATAAAGTTAAACGTGCCACTTCCTGATCTTGCGCGGTTTTACATGTTTTTTGTTTTTGTTTTGTTTTGTTTTTACATCCCACTTTGGATTGAGGAGCAGGGGGAGGGAAAAAAAAAAAAGAAAAGTCGCAAGAATCTTCTTCCATCACCTGAACCATATGAAATGTTATTTAAAAAATAAAAAAAGAAAGAAAAGAGGAGAAAAAAGCTGCAGAGGAACAGCTCCAGGGCGAGGAAAAGCTGTATTGCCTCACCCAGAGGACTTTTTATGTACTCCCCTTATTTTTTATGAGCTGCAACGGATGGACTGAAATCCAGCGACCCCTCTATATCTCAATTTTACGATTGTGACAAAGAAAAAAAGAAGAAGAAGCTAAAAGAGGACGAATTCTTATCAGTATTGTGAATAGTAAACTTGAAAAACAACGAGAAATCCCACAGATCTCCATGCCATGACTTCAGTTGTAGACTCTGTCTCTCTCTCTCTCACTCTCTCTCTCTCTCTCTGTCCAAGCGACCAACTTGAACTTTTTTGAATTTCAACACGATTCACGGTTATATAAGGGAATCAGTGTTCATGTATGTATATATTTATTTATGTGTAATTTAATGGGAATTGTAAATATGGTGCGTCTGTTGAAACTTCTTTTTTTTTATTTATCTGGTGCCTCCTGTTTTAGTGGGTTTGAATATTCGGTTAGTTCTTCATGTGATTTTATGGTTCTTAGAAAAACAGAAGTTTGGGGTAATTTTTCATTTCTCTGGGATATTTCAACTCAGCCCTCTTGTAGCATGTTGAGGCGACATTGAAGCAAGTGAACAAATTTAATAGAAATAAACTTCCAATTTTCTCTCTATATATCATTCTTATTCAGTTTTTTTCTTTAAATTTTATTTCAGACAGAGCATAAGTGAGCCCCCACCCCCACCACCCCCGAGGAGAAATGTTCTTGTGTGTGTGTGTGTGCGTGTGTGTTTCTATTTTTCGTTTTTATACGAGCTTTTATGTGTTGTGCCAATCAGAAATACGTTCCCACCTCTTGTTCTCTCCTTGAAGCAGCATAAAAGCAATAAATGGAATATTGTCTTTTTTTCAATGTTCGAAGACATTCAAAAACATTTTTTTTGGGGACCACCTGATATCTTGTTATGTCCGATAATGTCCGAAAATTGGAGGCGGTTTTAGCTGTATTGTATAGACCTGTGCTGGCAATAGTTCCTATGCCTGTCAATGTATTATAGTCCTTTGTTGCCCAGAAAAAAATAAATATTTGATACGCTTCATCTCGATTTTATTAATATCTTTTAATTTTTTATTCACTGCTTGATATACCCGGGTGTTTTTTTTTCTTCTTCACGATTTTTTTGTCTTGGTATTTTCCCCCCTATTCTGAACGGCTACAGTAATTGAGTTTAAGTCTCCCCTGACGATTGCTCCTTGCAATAAGCAGCTGAACTCACTGTTTCCCTCAAGTATAATAAAAAAAATTCTTACTTTAAACTCCCTAGTTCAGAGCACAGGATCTTATGCAGGCCAAATGGCTCACAACAATGGATATATTCGCGTTTGAAGTGTGCAGCGCCACCCCTCCAGCTAAAACCCTCTGAGATGTATATAGGCCTGGTGTGCAATGTTTTGTTGTTATAGGCTATATTTGGCTCTTCTTCGTTGATTCTGTGCCGGATCTTTATTCAAAGACACGCATCAAATATTTGTTATGTTGTTTCGCCTCTCAGTGTAATCAATGAACAATCAGAGAGCTCAGTGTGGTGGATTTGTATTTATGTTTTTTCACATGTGTCTATTCCGTGGCATAACCGTAACACTTTTTTCACTTTTTAACAACGAGTGTCCAGCTCTAAACTACAATTTCACCTGATTTTGTGACTGTGGTTCTGAAAATGTGGCCATTTTTAAATTTGTATTTATTTATTTCTGTATTTATTTTCGTACTTTGTGATGGCAAATCTGGCGCTAGGCTTCCCCCCCCCCCCTTTTCTTTCTTTTTTTGTGTGTTGTTGTTGCATGAGCTGCGCAGAGCGGCCCATTGCATAACATTTAAGCTGCGTTTGATTGTGTGCTGATGGCCTGGCACCTATAGTTCCGAATCAATCTCGTCTGCGGCGTGAATCAGTCTGGTGATATATGCATTCTCGTATTGTTTCTTGCTTTTCCCCATTTCACTGTCTGGTAACCATGCAGTTTAAAATATTGTAACACTGGGAGATATGGCACCCCACACCCCACCGTTCTCCCGCCCACCCCACCCCCTTCCCCTCCTTCCCCTCTTTCTCTTCTCCCCGGTCTCCTCGGCAGTCGTATTTATTATCTGCATGATTTTCGGGCCTCAGTTTAATTCTGAGGCAGTTGTTTTGCAGGAGGGTGAATGAAGCCTAACTGTACATGTCCTTGGCATAATTGCGATGCACAGTGCTGGAGCAGGTGAAGCGAGGCATTGTCTGTCAGGCCCTGTTTTTGTTGGCTCAGTCCTCAGATTGTGTGTGGGATCCTGTCCTCAGGCACAATAGCTCACTCATAAAGGAGAGAGACTACCCGGCTGCTCCTGCTATGGTGGATGTGAGGTGGTGGTGGTGAGGGGGGGGACTAGCATAAATAGTCACTTTAAGGGGAAAACAATCGTATTAAAACGGCATTCATTGGCATTAGCGAAAAGGAAGCCCCTCGCGTGTGTCATTAATGCTAATGTTATTTAATAAATTTATCGGGGCCGGGCTGAATGAAAACAGGTTTTTTGACGGTGAGACAAACGCATTAGAAATAGTCATATCGGTGACAATGGTGGAAATTTGTGCTCGTTATTAGCAGGAGATGAGGAGGATCGAAAGGCCCGTAATTAGAGCGTGTTTTAAATAGAATCGGGGTGTTAAAGAAACTCGAAATCCCATTGTTTGCCTTTGTTTACACCGATACCGGGCCTGCAATTTGCATGGATACCTTAAAAATACAAAATTGGAATTTTACCCTAATTTGATCTTAAACAGGTAGAACTAGTTTCTCAAATGCCTCACAGCAAAAGTCATTTACAACACACACACACACACAAAATAAAGGGGGGGGGGGGTGAAATTTGAAGAGCCAGTCAGCAGCTGAATTTGGATAATTCAATCCCTAACTGCTGGTTGTCTCAACTAAACCAATTACAGCTGATTCCCGTATAGTAATTAATAAGTGTGAGGCCTGTTGTTATCAAATATATTCTGGGAGAATATGTGAAACAAAATATATTCCAGGGGTTACACTGATAAATTTGTGTGATAGAGCGTGATGGCGTTCAGGGGCGAGAAACAACAACAAAAAAAAATCATACAGTATGTGTCTATGTGGCTCAGTGCAGGGCTGGTATTTATAGTTTGCAGCAGAGATGTAATGAAGGACAAACACAGACAGAGCCAGTCAAACCGCCTCTGTGTGTGTGCGCGCGCACTTTAGCCACTCAAATCTAAGTTTAAAGGCAAAGCAGCAAAATTTAAGCAAATGACACTTATACGGAGGTTTCATTTAGAGGAGAAATTAATGCTTGTGCGCTGATACTCCAAACATATTTATTTTTTCCACGCTAGTCGCCTTCGATTGATCGCCGTCTTTCGGTGTTATAACTTTTCATCTCCAACCAGCTGCACATCACTGCTGCGCTCATCACTCCTGTATAAATGTGTCCCATCCACTCTGCACGCTGGGAGCATTCTTTATTATTATTATTATTATTGTTATTATTTTGTGGTCAGAAAGTATTTAGTTGATACTGCTGAGATCATTGCTGGATGAAGGGACTGTCTATGGCCTAATTACCCCGTAGCGGCATCACTACAGCAGTCTGCACTGTAACGCTTGGAGGCAATGCTTTGGAGCTTGCTTGCCTGCATGGGAAGATATAGGGCAACAGTCTATGAGGCCCAGATTTTCTCTCTGCACTGACAGAAATATTATATAGGTATGACTGGAATTTGATTCAAGTCCAGCTGTGTTCCTGACATTTAAACAGGGGGATCTGAGTATTGATGGAGACGGAATACATATTAGTGTTTTTATTAAGTCATTTATTTATTATTTCGCACTACTTATAGTGCGAAAATACTTATATATAGTGCGAAAATACTTTTATATAT